TAAAAAAAAATTAATACCTTAACTTTCGCAGCTCATATCTCGATGAATTTTAAAGCTATCTTGATTTAATATTCAAAAGAAAGCTTACTATCTAATCTTTCTTTTGAATATTAAATCAAGATAGCTTTAAAATTCATCGAGATGTGAGCTATGAAAGTTGAGGCATTAAGTTTTTTTTAAATGTAGATTTGCTTGATTTCTATTGACGGCAGCCCATATATATAGATACTGTATACCGATACTTATCTATACGTACACGCACACTTTAAAAAATGCAATGTTTTAGCATAGGTATTTTTAAATAAAGTTTCAAAATCAAATTTGTATACAGTAGGTATGTAATATATATGTATATCAGATATATGTTATTATATATATAGCTTATGTTATATCTTTACATCTTTATGTTTAGCTTTGATGACAGTCAAGTATAATATTGGACGGGAAGGAGTTGATGCAATAGCAAAGGCTCTTTATGTAAATAAAAGTTTATATGAAGCTAAAACTATGGCTGAAGAAATTTTAAAACAAAATATGAGGAAGAAATATCAAGACCTAAATTAGATCTAATTCAATCTTATAGAAAGACACTTGGATTTCCTTTTTAAAATAATATTTTAATAATATTTATTATTTTTAGATTGTTGATATATATTTCACTGGCCGGAGGGAGTATCAGATTACCATATTTTATTTTAATTGGCTAGAGGGGGTATCAGGTTACTACATTTTATTTTAATTGGCTAAAGGGTATTTATATTATATTTATATTATACAAACATCTATATATACACTCCTTAAAAAAAGAATATATAAAAATAATTAGGATATTTAATCTTAAAAATAAAATTTTTAAATTTTGCTAATTTTGGTATTTAGCAATATTAGTCAGATAACGATAAAAAGTGAAGATCACAATTGTTATACAAAAATATATATTGATTATATATTTATAATTATTATATTTTTTTAGACGTATTGATAAAATGTTAGATGGGTACAAATAAGATTTTTACATGTTAATGTTTGCTAAACCGTATTTAATCATTTGATAACTACCTATTCAATTCTTTGAACCAGATTAATATTTACTCGTTTAGAATTTTTTAATATGTAATAATAATATAACATTATTGAATGTATGTAAATACTGTATATTGTATATATTACATATTCGGGTTACGATTCCAAATTGGATCATAACCCTACTCTGGTATTTAAATAACAAGGAATACCATAGACAACCGGTGCTGCACCAATTAAGTATTTCAACTTACATTCATTCCTTGCCATTGATACAGCTTGTACCAATGATACATCCTCCTTTGGAGTAACAGCATCCATATTATTAGGACATAATTTCCATTTATTGAAAAGTGCTTTACTAAACCGATCAATGTCTTTATCTGTGACATCCCATAAATTAGCGACAAGCGCAGGACTATTAAAATGAAAAGATTATCAAAAAGTTGATAAAAACACATGAAAATAACTAAAAATATCTTATAAATACTGACCAGCCTGCTATTATATAGCTTAAAGCCGTACCCGATGGATCAAACTCTCCACTATCACACAAATGACCACTACTACAACCAAATAATAGAGTAACTGCACAACGGTCAAGAGCTCTAATACAATGACTTCGAATATATTGTTCTCCAGTACCGTGGCCAACATATCTAAATTTTTTAGTCGAATTAAATATTTTAAAGCATAAAATACTTTGCCAAAATAGTTTTGTACTTACGCTATAATACATACATATAAAGATCATTATTTGCTAATCCATTTTTGCATTCCAACTCAAAGGGAGGGCGACCAATAACCCCGTCCCATTCTTGAAAACTAGGAAAATAATAATAATAATAAGTAATGAAAAAAAAAACTGTTTCAAAATTATATAAACTCACGATTTACCTCTTTACAAAATCTTCAAATTCATTTTGCGTATACTTTAAATCTTGACTTGGATTGAGGATATAAAAGGCCTTGCGTTGATCAATAAAATAATTCGAAGTATTTGATTCGCCTTGTTCATTATTAATGTGATTTATTAACGTTATACGATCTCTTAAAAATGATAGGGAAGGTAATCGCGAAACCGCTTGAGACCGCAAACATGGTAAGCTTTCCCATGGTAGCATTTGAACATTCTTGTCGAGAATCAAAATCACATGCTGATCATCAGATTGAGATGAATCGACCAAATTAATACTAGATATTATTTCTCGAACGTCTATAGTGAGCTATGATAAAAATAATGGTAAGTGTGGACCAAAATTCGTTTATGAGTATAATATTGACAGATCGTAAGGTTCGCCAAAATAATCATAAAACAACTGACTTTGTCCCAATCTATTTCATCATACCCGATCTGCTCGTCATTATATTTATTGTATGCATCCACAAGGAAATAAAGGACGTCTTCAATATCTTGATCTTTAGGATATGCACCTAAACGAAGTAACAACTTATATAATTCTACATTAATATCAAGCTTATTTTTTGTTTGATGCTTAGAGGACGATTTGCGCACGTCACATCTAAAATTTATACTGTCCATTTTATTTTTGAAACGAGAAATTTGATTGGGATCATGATGTGTATTTGCCATTAAAATTCCCTACATACAACCAAGATATAAAGTTGTTAAAATACAAGATACAGCATGAAATAAAAAATGTAACTCTATATTACCTTAAAGCCACCAAGCCAACAATCCTCAATATTATCAAGTAATTCTTTAAGCCTCAAATCCAATTGTGACCTTTCCTTCCACCATTCTACCTTTTCATGTTTAGTCTGTAACATTTTACCAGCTCGCATGCTTTGATTACTTAATTCTAGTATTTCATTGAATTCTTTAATCGCATCACTGTAGGCAAAACCGCCTTCGTCACCTTCTCTGATAGATTGACGTTTCAAAGGTAATCTTAGTAATAAAGGTGTTGTTTTTCGTTGATATCGACAAATGAACATGTCATTTGTCTCAATGTCAATAGAAATAGAGCAGGCGACCCAATTGTGCGGCAAGATATCCAAGAATTCGGATTGAAACTGTTCATAAGTTAGTGATAATTCATTTGTATATTGTTTTAATAAAGTTTTTAAAAATTCCTTTTGAGAATCAGCTTCATCATTAAAATCATCGCAATCTTTATCATCCAAACATGCCGATGTTGCAATCTGGTTTGGCCATTGCATATCATCATACTTCAGGGAAAATTGTAATTTTTCGTTCAATGTAGCAATCATCTGTCTTTTTGCAGTAAGTGCTCTGGTCATTTCTAAGAAATGAATTCACATATCTCAGTTATTTGTTTTATTGGAATTGTAAAATAAGGATGGCAAAAATGCTTACCCAAATAATAAGCACACATAGTTGCCACTTCAGATCGATCAAAGTTTTGATCTTGCCCATAAGATTTGATCATATTCGTCATTGTAATACATAACGAAGTTTCTTGCAATAATTGCGTTGGTCCACATTCATAAGCCAGGTCATAAACTTTTATTAGGCATTCAGTTACTCGATCAATTTCCTGAAGCAACTGAGGTGAAATTTCTGCCTTTGATTTTATTACCCTTCGTGACTTTTTTTTATTAGCCTTTCCCATCAAAGGAAGGGAAAGTACTTCAAAAGCAAATAACAGAAAAGTCATAAGATATTCTTTTTAAAAATAAAAATGCATAATATTCAGACTTACCAGAATCTCTCACATTATCAAACACTAAACGATTTTGGTTCAATAATGTATCATTTATATTCATAATATGAGCTTTACTCAATACAAATAAGTACTCTGCCTGTAATTATATAATCAACAATTGGTAAAGCGTTTCTATCCCAGTATTTAAATTTATCATAAATCAAAAAAAAAGTTAATTGACCTTTTCAAGGCATGATTGATTCGAATATGAACTAATTTCAATCAACTTAATGCCTTCACTAATATTTCCTTGTTTACTTAATACCCAACCTATACATACCAATTGCAAAATACGATACTAAAGTTAACAAAATATTATTTAATCGACCTAACTACAATATATTTCTCATATATTTCAAACCTTGACGACGAAATAATTCACTTTTCATATACGAAAGTAAAAAACATTCATATTGAACAGCACCTATAGTATAATAATTAAGAATCTCATGTTATAACAAATTTATTAAATACACTATCTTGAAATTAGTAAAGTAAAATGCTTACCATCTCCTGTAATTTTAGTAATTGGACTAGTTGGACAACAAGAGATAAATTTTTTACACGTTGGTGTTTGAAATACACTATAATTTGAATGGATTTAAGTGACATGACTTAAATAGGATGGTAATGTCTTAAAAAAGATTTTAAATAATCAAACCTCGCATCTGTACATTCAAGCTTCGTTATATAATCTTCTTTCATAATATCGGCCAAAATATCGTTCGCATGTTGATAGCATTCTAATGCAGTTCTATAACAAAGCACTTGAAATTTGGAATCACCTTGACGATATTTGAAATCGCCTTCACGATGTTTAAAGTCACCCATACATAAGTTCGCTAATGCTACTTCTTTTTGAAAAATATCGGCCTAATAAGAAGCACATCACACAAATTAATAGTATGTGACACATTATTTCATATAATATTTGTAATATGAATCAACCAATTCACCTTCTGCTGATACTCTAATGCTTTATCCAATTTTTCTTTGCTTTCTTTCCAACAATGCTTTCGATATTCTAATTCCGCAACATTCAATAAAAAAAGACTCATAACAGAATTTGCTTTTGTAGTTTCAATAAGATTTAAAGCTTCTTTAAAAAAATAATCAGCTTCTTTAACGCATCCGCGCAATATGTGGAG